GCACAGGCTTCTTCCCCTCCCTGCCCGCTCCAGGGCCAACACAGGTGCGGAGCTAGGAGCTGCGCAACAGAAGGGAGGGAGGAAAGGCACAAGCCGGGTCCCGGGATGCTGAGCCCAGTGTTGTGGTGCAGACCAGGAAGCCGGCCCTGCAGCTCGGAGACGGTGAGAGCGGCTCCCCTCCCCCTGCAGTGGGCACGCTCCGGAAGGGGCCTCCCCTGCCCCCCCAGCAGCCAGAATGACTCTGCAGAGGCTGTGCAGTGTTTCTCATCTGAAGTCATCTGCCTGGAACACCCCCATACCGGACCACAGCTGATAAGGCTCCGAGGAGGCTACGCAGAGCCAGGCAGAGCAGGACGCAGCGCTCCTGGGCCCCTGGCTCATCCGCATCCCCATACGGCTCTGCCTCAGCCACCTGGAAGCAGCTGCCATGGCTCCCACCCACAGAGGCAGAGGAAGGACAGGCATCACCGGCCTCGGCTTCTCTTACCCGGGAGATGGAGAGCGGCATGCTGAAATCCTTCCCTCCCTGCAGCCTGAAGCCCCAGGGCGCCGGCCCGTTCAGCATCACCTTGTAGGACTCCATGTCACCCATCTCTGGAAGGGAAGAGAGTGTGATCCTGGCGTTAGGGTACACTGGAACAATGCAGAGAGAGCGGACAAGAAGGGGGCCCAGTGCCTGCCAGGATAGGGCAGGAGAAGACAGGTCACGTTTCTAACAGTAACTCCACCCTGACCATCCTACACTGTGGTTAGAGACACACCCCAGATCTATCAGCATCTCTGCCAGCAGCATCAGAGCCAAGGGGCCCAGGCTAACGCTGACTAGCGCCAGGGAGCTGGGTACAGCCCTACTGTACCTGGAGGAGCCCTCGTGGGCTCTGCTCTCCCCCTCCCAAACTCAGGATGTCTTCTCCCTTGCAGCATCCCAGAAACTTATACTGCTGCAAGTCAAGACTGCTTCAGACCATGGAAAAGCAGCAGCAGGCATGGAAGGATGGGAACCAGAAACATTTTGCCAGATGAATTAGCAGCAGCAGCACAGGAGCTGCACGATGCCACCCGAGGCACCTGGCAGAGCAGCTAGGCCAGTGCTCCAGCAGCCAGCCGAGCAGATGCTAC